CGGTGGCCGTGGGATGCTCTGGACCTGCTTGTGGCTGGGCTGCAGCCACAGAAGCTGACGGGAAGGCACCCAGAGGAGCCCAGCTCCTCCGCCAGCAGGACTCGCCCGCCTGGGCTCCTCTCCAGCTCCCGCTGGTGGGTGACAAACCCAAACAGGAGCCAGTTTCCACCTCCCCAGGGCAGCCTGGTTTCCTGTCCCACTGGAAGAGCCGAGCCAGCAGCACCAAGCCCTGGAGATGGAGGCCGTTACTCCCCCTCTCCCGGGAAAAGCATGTTTTCTCCAGGTGAAAACATGAGGTCAGCTCCTTCAGACAACAACAAAAAACCACCTCCCTGTCCCAAACATGACCATTCCCAGCCGGTTTGCTCCCCGCAAGGGGCAGGCTGCGGCACCCAGCCCCCGCAGAGCAGGCAGGGGTTAACACTGAAGCTCCAACAGCTGGAAGAATGTCAAGGGCAGCCATAAAGCTGTTAGTCACACCCCAGTTACACCAGTCTGACAAAGGACACTGGTTATCCCCTCACTGCCAGTTCCTTAAGCGCCCCAGACTGCACAGGGAATTTATATGCGAGGCCACACACAACTCCAGAGCTGCCTGGGCTTTTTGGGAGGCTGAGCTCAGGGCTGCTCTTTTGGACGCCTTTCAATACAGGGCGGTTTGGGTTTCTTTTTGTTTTTGCTAGAGGGGAAGGATTTCATCAGCTTACACAGCTTTAAACTTGTGATCTGCATCTGCCAGGCCAAAGATTGATCGGCAGGTACGCAGAGGATTAAAGGTTACCCGGGTTAGCAGGCAGGTTGCCTCCTGCCTTTTCTTTTCTTCTCTAGTAAGGAGTGAAATTGGGCTGTTTAATATCATCGCTGCCCCGTGCGGCTCGGGGAAGGATGGCCCTGCTCAGAAATCAGTGGCCAAGCGCCGCTCAGCAGCACAACGGCGACTGCAAGGGGTGTTTTGGGGTGCCGGGGAGCAGCTTTTTGGTGCCGCTGCAGGCTAGGAGCAGGCAGGGTCCAGCTTGACAAGACGTGCCCCAGTGACTCAGGGTTTGCAGAGCAGCTTAAGCGATAACCGAAGCTGAGGATCCCTGCTAATAACAGCCCTGCGGCTAATGAGATCTCCCGCTGGGAAAAGAAGTTGGTTAGTCCGAGCATGCCCTTCCCCAAAGGACTGCAAAGAGAGAGGCATTACTTACGTTCGATTTTCTTCTTCATTCTCGGACATACAAAGAACCAGACGATGAGAGCACAGACAACAGCACTCCCCGCCGATATTAGGAGGATACCCCACAGAGGAAGTTTGTCAAAGCCCAGCACTAGGAAATAAAACAACGGATCTTTGAAAACCTCCGGGCAAAAGCCTCCTCGACATACGGCTTTGCTCTTCCCGGCACAGGGACTCCATCACCTGCAACATCACTGAGCTAATTTGCCTGCCAGGGAGAAATGCCATCGCAAAAGCCATCGCTGACCGCACCAAACCCGAGAGCTCGACCCACAGAGAAGCCCCCCCCGCACCCCATTACCATCTCCCCCACCAAGAGCTAATCTTCCACATGTGCAGACACTTCCCCCTCCCTCCCGCAGCTGAGCCCCACCAGGGAGCCGCACGTGCCGGCACGGGGCCAGGAGGCTCCCCGCAGCTCTTGTCTCCTCACTTGCTGCAATGTCAAAGAAAAAAAAAATAAATAAAAAAACCACCCAGCAGGGCTGCTGCAGCGCCAGCGCCGCTTCCCCTGCTCGGGGAGAGGACACGCAGGACCCAGGCTGCTCCTGCTGGAGAGCCCCCCGCCTCCATTAACTCCTCCAGCTGCTGGGAGAAGATGGGTTTCCTGCTCCACCAGTCCCTGGGAACTTCAGCTCAAGTTCCCAGGCATCCGAGGTGTTACCTGACCTAGTTACAAGCATTTTCACATGCAGCGTGACTTTTAGCAGAGGTTTTGCATGATACAGCCCGCCGCAGCCCCCGGCCGGGGTATCAGGTGCTTGCAACCGCTCGCCTCCTGCCTTTGCTGCTGCAGGCAATGACTTACTGCTCCTAATGCACCTGGGAACTTCAGCTCAAGTTCCCAGGCATCCGAGGTGTTACCTGACCTAGTTACAAGCATTTTCACATGCAGCGTGACTTTTAGCAGAGGTTTTGCATGATACAGCCCGCCGCAGCCCCCGGCCGGGGTATCAGGTGCTTGCAACCGCTCGCCTCCTGCCTTTGCTGCTGCAGGCAATGACTTACTGCTCCTAATGCACCACCAGCAGCATCGCAGCTCCGTTACCCACGCACTTCACTTCGTGCTTACGCCAAGCCTGGCTCCCTGAAGGCTGCAAACCCTGCACTCCAACACCACGGAGCTCACCCAGCCCTCCTGCAGCTGAGGGCCCAGGATAAACAGGAATCCACCTTCGGGGTGCCAAGCGATACAGCAATCTTGGAGCAGCCCCCGTGGCCCCAGCACCCCTGCAGCACCCCCGCCTTCTCCCCCAGGCTGGGAAGCCAAGGGAAGGGGAAGCTGACATCCCTCCAAAAATTTTTCCAGCCACTGTTTACGGAGAAAAGCCTGTGGAGAAAGCACTGACTGCCCTCACCCCATCTCCAGCAACTCCTCCACAACAGGAAACCCACGCTCATACCCAAAACAGCTGACGCCGAGTCACTCCGGAGGTTACGGAGCCTCGGGCTCCGCGGGCAAAGCCAAGCTCCCCTGCCAAGCCCTCTCCTATCCCTGCCTGCGACCTGTCCCCCTACGCCACAGCCAGACAAGCATTTCAATTTGGCTTTTCAAACTGCAGTGCAAACGCCTCGTCTCGGTACAGGTGCCAGCTCTCCTTGCCAGGGATAATTTGTTTATTCTTAGGGACAAGGTGAATCAGGAAGCGCAGCCTCCATCCCTGCTCCTAGCCTTGCTACCGGCAGCCCGAGGAATCTCTTCAGCGGCAGCCGGGTACCTGAGTCTTAGCACAGGCAAGAGAAGGGAAGGGGAAGTCATGTTATCTGCCAGTCCTGTGAAGTCTAAGGAGAAAGGTCTGGAGGGGTTTAGTTTGAGCAGGTCTCTTTGGTTGGGCAACTATCTAGCCCAGAACTCAGCGCACGCTAGCCTGCAGCCTTCTGTAACCGGCACAGGCCAGCCGCCTTCTAGGAGATTTCAGCCCTGTAAAGCAAAAAAGGGGTAAATCGTGCATTTAATGGAGGTTTTGTAAAGAATTTAAAAATTAAGGTTTAAGTATTCTGTCGCGTACTTACAAGGTGCACCGGTATACATGATGGAGAAGAGGTTGATCCCCACCGTACAGGCGTAGAAGATGGGCAAAGCTCGCAAGCCATTGGGAACGGGATCCGCCTGCAAAAGAAGGGTCCGTGCTGCAGAACGCCAGAGCGAGGGCTGTGCAGCAGCCGAGCCCCTTCCCAACAGGGGGTTTGTGCCTTGGGTCAACTGCTGAGCCAAGCCAGAGCTCCTGATGGCCTTTAGGGAATCACCCCCAGGGCTGCCCATCGGCCTGGGGGCAGAGAAGGTGCCAGAACACCACAGGTCCTGCAAGGCTCCCCAGGGACCCAGGGCAGGACCAGCCGAGCGTCCCAGGGGCTGCCTGGCTCCTGAACCCTCCCCAAGGCTCCCCGGCCTGCAGACCCCTGCAGCCTCCAAGCTGCATGTAGGGTTTTTTTTTCCCCCTCAACTCCCCAGGCCCTTTCAGACAAAAGCATTTGTCAGACAAAGCTTTTACCTCTTTCCAGCTGACTTGGACAAAATAAAAAAAGTCCATTATTCACAAAGCAGCTTATTTGACCGCATACCTGCACAGAGAGGCCCTCACCCCAGCAGCAGGAGCACTTAATCTCCGCTGCTGCCCAGCAATCGGGTCTAGCCTTGGTACAAACACACCAAGCATTACCAAACGCCGAGCAGGACAGAGCAACCGGGACTATTCAGCGCCAGAATGAAGCGTGACGGGGCCAGCCCAGCTCCGAAAGGCCAGTTACGCAAGGTTACTCTGACAGCAGTGACGCTGAATTGTTTTAAAGGGCTGCCAGGTAGAAACCAGCAACGATAAGATCTTAACATCTCTCGAATCAGAAATAGTTAGAGGCAAGACCTAAAATAATTTAAGTTAAGCTCAGGTATGCAAGAGAACATGCTGGAGTTCCTCCGCACAGCTGGCTGGATACCCCTGCACCAGGCCAGCAGCATCCTGCGCTCCAGGGTCATCATCTCGGAAAGATGAGGTCTGAAGCTGCCACCTCCATTTCAAGCACCTTTGGGTGCCCAATCCTGGGCTTTCAGATACTCCCAACAGCAGGAGCGTGACCCTGGAGCCAGCCCAAGCATCCCTCGCTTTACCCAGGGCCCCAGATGGGGGGGAAAGGGTGATTTCCACAGCACCAGGGACAATTCTGGCCCTCCCAGCTTAAAAAAAGAGCCACTGCTGTTGGTCATTGCCTCCATCTGCAGCCTGACACGAGAGGAGGTCCAGCCTCGCACCCGGCCTTAGGAAAAGCCTGACAAGAAGCTCTAATCTTATCAGTTCTGGTCTGCTTCACTACTTGGAACCCATGACTGTTTCTGCAGGACACTCCAGGCCCAGATGGTTTGGAGGAGGTTGAGTGAAGCCTCCTCACCACCCAGGCTCCAGGTCTGGTTTTCCCATCCCTTCAGCTCCTCCTGGAGCCCCAAAGAGCTGACCCAAGCATCAGCACAGGGATGGACATGCCTGGTGAAGCTCTGGTGCACATAAGCCAACCAACCAGCCCAAGGGGCAGAGGATGGAGCAACCAGGAGCCCCAGGGTGCCAGAAAATGGGGTGGACAGCCCTTACCTTACGGAGGATGAACCTCTGGACGAGGAAGAACAGGATAGCAGACATGATGCCCGAAAGGAGGGGTGAGATGAACCAGGACAACACTAGGAGGGAAGAGGCATGGTGAGCACCCCGCTGCTGGAAGGGGGAGCCCTGGGGCCACATGGATGCCATGTACAGGGGCGATCGCATGAGCTGGCCTTACCAATTTTTAGCAGCTCGGACCACTTGACGCCTTCTTGCCCTTTGGCCACTAGGGAAAAGCAGATGGT